TAGATTAATAAAGTTATTATTTCCGTAATATAGGTATTCTATATTCTATTATATTAGTTATATAATATTTCTAAATATAAATTAATTATATATATTATTATATTTTTAGAATTATTATTATAAGTCTTTTTTATATTTAAAAGCTAGATTAATATCTTATTATAGGATCTTGGCTATTAATTCTATTTATGGCTCTTATACTTTATCTTAACTATTAATATCTATTCTATTATTAAATATATTATTCTAGTACTTAGCCCTAAAAAGTTTCGAATTACTATCTAATACTTGCTTCTTTCCTTTATTTTTATTTAACTTATAAAATTTATTTAGTAATAACTTATTAAACTAATATTAAATCTTCTTTATTTCTTTTAATTCTTTCTAGCTTATTTATATTAGTTTTTTTATAAAGTTAGTAATTTAATATAGCTTCTAAAATATATATTACTATAGGTTAGCTTTCTTTACTTTCTTTTTTAATAATATCTTAGTTACTAGGTAAATAGTATTCTTTATTAATATTACTAGTATAAATATTATTAGCTTAAGTCTAGTTTTTAGGCTTTTCTTTAACTTTAGGAAGATTTATAAAGCCTAGTCTTTTGCCTTTACTTTCTTTATTAATATTAAGACTTTCCTAATCTTTCCCGGATTATTATTTAGGCTAGGCTCTAGTTTCTTTAATAATATTAGTTTCTTTTCCTTTTTCTTACTTTTATTCTTATTATTACTTATCTTATTCTTTATATCTTAGTATTCCGGGTTATTCTTTTATAGCTATTTTCTAAATTATTTCTAACTAGTATAGTATTTTTCTAGATACTAGTTATAGATTTATTAAATAGCCTCTGTATTTATTATTAAAGCTATTATATCTAGGCTTTTTTTTTCCCGAATTTTTCTTTTTTTATAAAATATATTAGAAATCTATAATTATCTGGCTTATTAAAATCCGGACTTTATATAGTAATTTTTTTATTTATTTATTATAGGGCCTTAATAGCTACTTCTTTTATTATTTTATTTTTAAAATCTATATCCGGTTCCGGCTTTTTAAATATACTAAAAAGATATACTATTACTATAAAGTTATTAGATTATATAAATAGTTCGTTTTTTAAGACTATTTAATATAAGAATTATTATATTTCCTCTTATATATAAGGTGGCTTATTTCCTATTTAAGCTATTATTTTTTCCCGGGAAATTTCCCGGTTATTATTCTATTACTTTTATTATCCGGATTTAGGAAGTATTAAGCTTATTAATAGTTCTTATTATAATACTTTATAATAAGTTATAGATTATAGAAATAAAGGTTTATATTATCTTTTCTTTTTTACTTAGCTTTAATCTAGAATTAGTAAAAGTAAAGATTTATATTATTTTCTTTTTATTACTTGACTTTTTACTTATATTTACTTATAAAATTTTGAGTTTTAATTAATTCTTATTTTTAGTATTTTCGGGTCTTTTTTAGAATAAATATTCCCGTCTTATTAAAACTTATTTATAATTATAAGTATAAATATACTAATTCTCGGTATTAGGCCTTAGCTTAAAAAAATATTTCTTATAAAATATTATTACTATTTCTTATATATATTCTAGGTCTTTAGCTTTATACTAGCTATTATAATCTGCTATCTAGCCCTTTTATTATATTAGGTAATATAGTTTTCTTTATTATATTTAATACTAGAAGTTTATAATAGCCTTAATTTCCTATTTCTTAACTTCTTTTCCTTAGTTATTTAAAATAAGTTCTATTCCGGGTTCTTCTAAATTAGTATTCTCTTGCAAATCCCAAGTAAATTCCTAGTACTTTATTAGAAGATTTATATAAAAGATATTATAATATTTCTAATTTTCTAGTAATCTGAGCTAGTATACTTAATAGCTAATTTTCTTATTTACCCTAAATAGTTCTATTTTCTTTAGTTCTAGCTTTTTATAGAATTAGTTTAAGTTTATATTCTTTATATTAAATATTACTAGTTTACTAACTTTAAACTTTATTCTCTTATATTTTATATTATAATACTTTATTTATATATCTTATATATAAATTAATATCTTCTTTAGCTAATTATATATCTTTTAAAGTTTTCTTATTAGGTTCTTTACTAATTCTAATTTATAGTTTTATAGTTTTACTAGCTAGAAAGATTTTATAATCTTTCTATTTACTTTAAATAAAAATAGCTTTATTAATAAAAATAGGCTATTTCCCTATATAAATTCTACTAGATCTAATAAGTCTGTCTAGTTTTCCTAGTTAAAGTCTATAAATATTCTCAGAAAATCTTCTAATACTATTTTTTTTTTTTAGTTTAGTTATTTATTTATAAATAAAATACTATAAAGGTTTTTCTTTTTATCCTAAGAGTTTTTATAAATATCTTCTAGAATATTAAGATAAATAGCTTTACTTTATTTATTATAATATTATCTAGTATTTTATATTTTAAAAATATATAATAAAGAAATATATATATAAATTATTTTAAGTTTATTTCTTTTTAAACTAGAATAAAGTTTCCTTTCTTTATTAACTTATATACTATTACTAGAATTATATTATATATTATCTATTTTCTTTCTTTCTTATAAAAGAAGTTTACTAATTTTTTAAATAATAGTAGGTCTATAATAAGATCTAGTATAATAGAGCCCTAGAATTTTCCTAGAACTAGAAGTAGTTTTAATTTACCTAGTATTAGTATTCTTAAGAACTTATTTCTTTAATATACTAGATATAAGCTAATAAAGTTATTTATATTAGTATTTATATTTATCTAGAATAATAGCCTTTTTATTACTAGAATTATTTTATTTCTTCTAAAATAGCCTATAGTTAGGCTATTATAGAACTTTTTTAAAAGGTATTTTCTTAGTTTAGTATTTTCTAGTACCTATAAATAAGTCTTTTTATAAATTTATAGGCTATTCTCGAAAGTAAAGTTCTTTTCTTCCGGATTTATATATTTCTTTTATATATTTTAGATCTCGGTTATTATATTATTAAATAGTTATTTCTTCTTCTTAATTTCTTCTGGGATTTCTTTTATAAGATTATATATTATATATATATTTTTATAGCTATTACTTTATATTTATATTTCCGCGATTTTTCCTAGCTCCTATAATATTTCTTCTTTTTCTTATTTTACTTATATATAGGTATTTTAAACTATTATATACAGATTTCCCCCCTTAGAACCAGAAAATCAAGTACTCGAATAACACATTATTCTCCGGTTTTTTTACCCCCCTTACTTTCACACCCACACTTCACCCACCTTCAGAACTCACTCAATACACCTTAGCCCTTTGGCCCCAGGCTCTAGAACCTACTATAAGTAGAGCTAGAACAGGCTAAATGGCCCCCCCTGACCCCCCGGGCTCTAGCCCCCCTCCCATCGACTTTCAAGAGCTCGGAGAGCTTCCAGAGGGCCCTAGCGAACAGCTAGACCTACCCACTAGCTCCCCACTAGCTCGGTTCAGCCAGGGAGCTCAATTCGCATTCGATTTAGCTACAAATCCCATCTCTTCAGACGAACTCGCAGCCCCTTTTCCTCAGCCTAATTCAGCTAGTGCGGCTCGACTGAGCCGCCTCCAGAACGGGCTAAAGCGTGGCCCTAGCTTGAGCGATATTAATAGAGATATCGATAAGGAATACCAAAACCACGGAAACCACCACCAATATCAGAATCAAGCTTCGAATAAAGCTAAATTACTAATTCGTCAAGCCCGGGACTTAATAGTCAAAGCTATTACTATTACTCCGTTACATGACCAGTAATCTCGACTACTAGATTTAGTAGAAATCTTCAGAGAATACACTGAATTCGGCCGTATCCGCCATACTAGTACTTTACTAGCCTCCCAGGTAGCGAACCTCGAAAATGCCACTAAACGGATCGAAATTCAGTCAAGAACTCAAGCCAAACTAGCTACTCAAGCTAAAACTACCCCCGAAAAGCCTACTTGGGCTAAAATCGCTACTCAAGAATCACAATCTCACTCGGAAAAGGACTGGACTATAGTATTACATACTAAGTCCAAAAATCAGGGAGGAAAAGGCCCTAGTACACTTACTAGTAGCGGTAGTGCTCGTAATACTAATAAACCACTTAGTGCCCGTAATACTAGTAGTTCTAGTACTCGTGATACTAGCTCGAAATCTACGGCCCTCTCTAGGAAAAGCACCTTCCTACTAGCTTATATGGAGCAGGCTAGCTCGTTCTCTGCTATTTCTACTTGCAATTCGCTTAATACTGCTTTCCGCTCTAAGGGAATCAAGGAACTAGTAATCTCTACGGTCTCTCTTTCCTCGAAGGGTAATATTATAGTTAATACTACTCCCGAATTTAACTCTGACTTTCTGGTTCAAAATCAAGCTATTATAAAGGGAGTGCTTCCCTTAGTTACAAGTATACAAAAAGGAGAACCTTGGTATAAAGTTATTATCTACGGTCTACCTATTCGTGAGTTCGATATACCCGAAGGAATGGACTTAGTCCTAGAAGAAATCAAGACCTTTAATAAGGGACTAGAGCCTATTGGCCAGCCCTATTGGGCTACTTCTAAGGAGAAAAGAGACTCAGGCCTCTAGCGAGCCGGTTCAGTAATAGTGGCATTCCCTACCGAGATTCAAGCTAATAGAGCTATTAAAAATAGACTCCTTATAGCCGGGATCTCTGCTAAAGTAGTAAAATACCATACTATTTCTAGTACTATACAGTATACTAGGTGCGCAGGATACGGGCACTTAGATTCTATTTGCAAAAAGGAACCTAAGTGCTTACTATATAGTGAGGGTCACGTGACTGAGAACCATTTTTGCTCTATCTGTAAGAAGAAGGGCAAAAAATGCCCCCACGTGACTACTAAATGCTCTAATTGCTTAAGTACTACCTATTCAGCTAGTTCTAAGCTATGTGAGGTTTACTTAGCAATTAAAAAAGCTACTACTACTATAATTCCTACTATTACTATTAATGAGTAGCTATATTAAAGTACTACAAGTTAATGTGAATCGTAATAGCTCTACTACTAAAAACGTCTTGCAAACAGTTATAGAACTGGATATTAAAGTCCTAGTAATCCAGGAACCATGGGTAATAGCAAGGGATAGTAATAATCGGAAATATCGTTCTATTATATACTCTAGCTATTTCCAAATACTCCCGAATTACGGTACCCTGAGGCCTAGAACCCTATTTTATATAGCTTGCGAACTGCAAGCTAGTCTAGCCTCAAACTTACTAAGTAATCCTGATTACTTAATTATAGACTTAAGTCTAGGTGTACTAAAAATGCAGCTAATTAATTTCTATAATATAATTCACCCAGAAGACCCTAATAGTATATTAACTATATTAAGAGAGAGCATTTTACTTACTACTCTCTATAATAGCTCTCTATTACTAGGTGATTTTAATATATATTATCCTTGGTAGGATCTCCTTAAACCTCAAAGCAGTTATACAGTTTATTTAATTAGCTATATAGAGAACCATTCTCTAAGACTATTAAATAAACCAGGGGAAGGTACCTTCTATAGACCTAATATGTCCATTCCTTCCGTATTAGACTTAAGTTTTACTACTAGTGGAATAGTAACTAAGATTAAAGACTGGCAAGTACTACCAGACTTAGGTTCTAATTACTTCGGGGTTCTATTTACTATTAGTAAGTCGACTTATAGCTCTAGTTCTAATCTAGTCAGATTTAATACTAAGAAAGCGGACTGGGCTAAATTTACAAGCTACCTTATTAATAGCCTTGAGAATATACCCTTTCCACTTACTAGTATACCTGGAAATCATAAACTAGACCTATTAGCAGAAGACTTTACTAATAGAATAGTAGAAGCAGCTAGTAATAGTATTCCAAAATCTACTACTAGTCCGTATTCTAAACCCTGGTAGAATAAGGACTTAAAGACCTTATATAAATCAATACTATACTATAGCCGTAAGTCTAAAGCTTCAGGGTATACTCTCTATAAACAAGAACTCCAAAATGCAAAAAACACCTATTTTAATACTATTAAGAGTACTAAGCTAGCGTACTAGAACAAGTTCTTAGAGAATAAAGACTCCCAGTCGATTTTTAAAGCTATGAAATATACTAAAGATACTATATATTAATCTATTCCTAGTATCTTAGATAATAGTTCAAATGAGCTAAAATCGACTTTCCAAAAGAAATATAATATCTTTAGAACTGTGCTTTTCCCACTCCCTCCTATTATAGCACCTATTAGTCTAATAGACTATAGGCCTAGCTCAAAGTGGGACTGGCCTATTTTATCTAAAATAGAGCTAGAACAAGCCTGTATCTCTAAGATAAAAGGGAAAACCCCTGAACCAGACTTAGTTACTTAAGAGATTATAGTTCATACTTATAGAGCTTCTCTAGATATCTTTTATAGGCTATACTCCTTATTTATTAATAAGGAATACTACCCTAAAGTCTGGAAACAAGCTACTGGCTTTATTCTAAAGAAATCAGGGAAACCAAACTATTTCCTACCCAAAGCATATTAAGTTATTTCCCTACTTAATTGCTTAGGGAAGGTTTCTGAGAGAATACTAGCTAGGCGACTTAGCTATTTAGCCGAGACTAGTAACCTACTGCACTACTCCCAAATAGGAGGTAGGCTCTATAAGTCAGCTATTAATACTGCTTTACTATTACAAAATGAAGTAGAATCAAATAAGTCCTATAAGCTGAAAACTAGTACTCTCTTCCTAGATATTAAAGGCGCCTTCGATCACGTATCCAAGAATAGGCTATTACAGATCATGATTAGTTTACTACTACCTACTAGCCTTATTCTCTGGGTATTATTATTCCTAGACGACCGAGTATTATGACTAGCTTTTAATAATAGTACAGAAGCATTTAGGTCTATACTTACTGGTATTCTATAAGGTAGCCCTATATCCCCTATATTATTTCTTATCTATATCCGAGACTTATTTAAGTCGGCAAATATTAAATTCAGATCCTATTTAGACGATATATCCCTTACTACTGCTTCTAAAAGTCTTAAAAAGAATATAAAGACCCTAGAACGGGAAGTAAAGGATATAGTTAACTTAGGGAAAAAGAATATTATTAGCTTTAATATAGATAAAACAGAGCTTATTCATTTTAATAATTCCAAAAATAAGCCTAGTCTAAAACTACCTAATAGGGAACTAGTTTCCCCTAGTAAAGTAGTCAAATGGCTAGGGATCTATTTCAATGAAAATCTCAGATTTAAGGAACATATAGCCTATAGGGCTTCCAAAGCAAAACAAGCCTTTTATAGGATATAAAGACTTATGAATATATTACGTGGCTTATCTCCTTTTGTAACTAGACAGCTATATTTAGCCTGTGTTACTAGTATAATAGACTATGGTTCTATACTATAGTGGAAGACTGAAAGCAAAGCTCAAATTCGGCCTTTACAGGCGATTCAAAACCTAGCCCTAAGGAAAACCCTAGGAGTATTCAAAACTGCTCCTATTATTCCTATAGAGGTCGAATCAGCTTTAGTTCCACCTATTATAAGGCTAAACCATAGTTGATATCAATATGCCTTCCGTATCCTTAAACTAAGTCTAAAACACCCTATTAGACTAGAGTTCGAGAAGTCCTTCTAAAGATCTAGAGATTTAGAAGTAATAGAATCTGATATAGACTCTATTTATAGTCTAAATACTAATCTAAAGCGAGATCGCTTAGCTAAAAAGTCTCAAATAGAAACTATAGTAGATTCTATTAGTAATCTAGTAGACCCTAGAGATCTAGAGATTATAAGACACTTCTATTTCGCTCCCTGGAATAGAGAAGTGCCTTATAAAATTACTATATTAAAAGAGCCAAAGAAAGAGACTGCTATATTATATAATTTCTACCTAAAGACTTTATATAATAGTAGCTCTATACTATCTATATATATAGATGGATCTCAAACTGAAAAAGGAATTGGAGTAGGCCTAGAGCTCGTGGTTTATAGTCACGAAACTCCTTATATTCCGGTCATAGCTAAATATAGAGAAAGCCAGAATATAGGAGCTAGTACTATAGTCTATAATGGAGAACTAGAAGGCGTTACTAGGGCTATTGAATACGCTAGTAGTAAAGCAAAGAGAGGAGAGCTTTTTAATATCTATATAGATAACCAAGCTGGTTTACTGAGACTAAAAACTTCTTCTGATAAGCCCGGTCAAAGTCAATAGATTAGAGCTATACTAGCTACTAAGGCCCTTAAAGCTAAAGGAGCTAATATAGAACTAATCTGGGTTCCAGGGCATACGGACATAATAGGGAACGAAGAAGCAGACATACTAGCTAAGCTAGGCACTACTTCTCCTATATTAGAACCTGAATTAGTAAAAACCTTCTTTGCTTTCCTAGGGGTTGAAATCAATAAAGTTAAGAAACTAGAGTACAGACTACTTTTAGAATCTTATACTAAACCGAAAACCCAGCTAGAATCATATAGTAATATATATACGTAAACAATAATCTGCGATAAAAATCGAGAGAGTGTCTATCACTGCAAATTTAATACTGCACCCATACGGGATCGAAATCGACCTTCTATCACTTAGTGATCGATACATCCGGATTACACAAGGGGTATGGTACCATCCAAAAGTAAGACGAAAGACCTACTAGAGATACACTAGTATATGGATGACATATATATCATGCTATACGAAAAAAAAAAAAAAAAAAAAAAAAAAAAAAGAAAATTATATGAAATAATCAAATCTTGATATATCATTGCGATCGATCGATCGCACACAACAAGAGTCATCGATTATATGTCCGGTTTTAGGGTTATATCCACATTATTTATCAACCTGCATGGGATCTTATTTTTGAATTCCTTTATTTTCTTTTTAATTTTTTTTTATTTTTTTTTTTTTTTTTTTTTTTTTTTTTTTTAGGAGAGGATAAGGGATTAAGGGGGAAAAGGGGATAAGGGAAGAGAAAATAAAGGGAGGGGACTAAAGAGGGATAAAGGAGGGATAAAGGAGGGGATTAAAGGAGGGGATGTAAAAGGAGGGGATAAAGGGTGAAGAGAGTCTGAAGGTGCCCGAAGCACGTTATACGTAAAAGAATATATCATTGGAGTCAAAGGAAAAATCTTATGACATTACAAAAAAAAAAAAAAAAAACTATTATATATAGGAGATTCAGGGCCCTATTTAGCTTAATTAGGCTATTTATGTCTTATTTCCCTAAGTTTAGTAGCGGCTTCTAAACTACTACTAGTTCTCTTATATAATTAGGTTTTTTTAATAGTATATTAGCCGGATTTTTTAATCTTACTTTATATATAATTTCGAAATTAATTATAAATAAAGTTACTATCTAATAGGCTTATTATTATAAAATACTTTAAATTATTATAATCCGAGATAATTATAATCTTTTCTTATATTTCTTCTAAGAAATACTTCTAGTATTTAATACTTTTTACTATTACTAATAGTTCTTAATTAAAGATTAAGTAATTAATCTTTACTAGAATAAATTTTCTCGAGTAAAATACTATTAGATATAAATAATAATTATCCTATTTCTATAATATAATTCCTGCTAGTATAAAAACTAAAGTATTATATTTGAGCTATTATTTTAGTACTAGATTAAAATATATAAGAATTAGGGTATTCTTAAATCTTTTCTTTAGGTTCTTAAAAGCTCTTATTACTTCTTCTATTTATTTAAATTATTATTCCTAATATTATTAAGCTATATTAGTAAATAAAATATTTATAGAAATTATAGAAATTTAGGAATACTAAGGTTTTTCTAGCTATTTCCGGAACTAGCTAGTATTAGATTATAATAACTCGGGCCTCATTTATTTTTATTTCTTTATATAAAATAATATATTCGAGAAATTTTACTTCTTTTATATTAAATTCGCACTTTTCTAGCTTATAGAATAGGCTATATTTATCTAATTATTCTAGGACCTTATATATATATTTTATATAAAATTACTCTTTCTTTAAGAAAATTAGGATATTATTTAGATATATAATTATAAAAATATTAATTAATATATATTTAGAATATTACGAGTTTATTACTTAGGCTAAATAGAAGTATTAGATATTTAAATAAACTAAACCTTATTCTAAATACTATTATTTATTTATATCTTTCTTTAATTCTAATTAAGTAATATATATTTTATAAGTCGAGCTTTATAAAAACTATTACTTAGCCAAATTAGTTCAGGATTTCGGAGATTAGTAAGATTAGATATCTATTAGAAATAGTATTATTATTTAGGCTATAATAGTCTATATATAGTTTATAGCTTCTATCTTTCTTTCTTATAAATAGAAAAGATATTATTACTAGTAATTTAGATCTCTGAATTATTTCTAGTCTTAGTATTTTCTTTAGATATTTCTTTAGGATTTCTAACTTTTCTTTTAATAAGTTATAAATTAGTTCCTATAATAGCTTAAAGCCTGGCTTAAGAAATATCTTATAATTAAATCCTAGCTAATAAAGTAAAAGCTTCTCTACTTTAGTTTTATTAAAAACATATTTATATCTCTTATATTTTATAAATAATTTCGTTCCTATTTAATATTTTTCCCGGAACTCTCTAGAAATATTCTTAATTAGGTTTAGAACCTTAAAGTATATTTATAGTTCTTTATTTACTAATAATTTATCCTTAATTCCTCTCTTATTATTTTCTTCTAATAAATAAAGCATATCTAGAGCTATTACTATTTAAGCTAGTATTTCCGAGTTATACTTATTATTACTTCTTATTAGTTCTCTAGTATATTAATTAATCTTCGGATTATATTTCTTTAGCTATAATAGCCCGAATATAATATTTACTATCTTTAATTTTATTTCCCTAAATCTTATTAGTATTAGTATATAT